TTGAGTCAAGGACTATTGGAACTCTCTCCCTGGACAAATCTGATATGCTGCCAGTTTGGGTGAAATCTGCAGGAGTGGTTCTGGCTCCACCAATGCTAAGGGCAGCCTCTCCTACAGGGCAATGATTTCCTTCTGTCCACTCTGGCCTGAGTCCTTCCTGTGACCATAAACTCGACTCAGATGCTTCTGCCCTCTTAAGCTCTCTTACAGCAGATTTGTAACTCGTCATATGTTTCTGTGTCTAATCTCTGCCTCTCATATTTGTCTCTAAACTCCACAGGCAAGGCCCTTAACTGCAAAGCTCATTATTTAAAACAAGGACACAGTGCCGTGTGCAGTGCATGGCGGTGCATGTGTGTGCAGGCACGCGCACCTGTGCTCATGTGTGTAATTGAAATGAACGACAACGCCACAGCCCATCTTGTGATCTGCCATCCAATAGCTGTAAGCCCTTCCTAAATGTCAGCAAAATCAAGCTCTGTTATTTCTTCCTGTCTAGTGTTTCTAGTGCTTTTTTTCAGTTTTGTATTTTTTTTTATTGCAGTAACATTGGTTTCGAATGTCTATGTATACGAATTAGAAATATAGGTTCACACTTCTTCAGATACATGTTACCATCCCCACCACCAAAGTCTCCATCATCCTCCACCACAGGCCATGGCTCCCTCCCCCACTTTGCTCACAGCCACATATGTGTGACAGCCCTTTCACAGGGCAAGTGTCCAGTTAGATAAAGAGAGATGGACACCTTCTACACTTCTCCATGGCCAGTGTCTCCCACCCACCCACTACCTCTCCCCTGTCCCCATTCCAAAAGAGAGGGATGTCTCCATGACCCTCACTTTGGCCCTTTCTGCTTGGGGTGCCCAGGGCTGAGCCTGCTATTCCCACGCTGGCCTGCTGGCGGCAGGAGAGAGAGCTTCTCCCCTGCCCTGTCCACTGTCTGCAGGCAACATGAGGCTGCATTAGCTTTTTGACCACCACATACCCTGTTGAATTATCTTAGCCTATGGCCAAGTGAAACTGCTAAGGCTTTTTGCATAATAACCTCTGTTGAGCCAGGTCTCTTCCATTCTGTATTTTGCAATCACTTTTTAAAACACTGGCTTGGTATCAATCTCTATTAAGTTTTATTTAAGTTCTGCCTCAGTGCCTTCCCTCCAGCTTGCTCCGTTTTTGCTTCCAGAGCTTTCCATGGATCCCATGCTGTTTACCACTAGGCAAGTGAAGAGGGAGGCCTGGTGCAGGTTGAAGGAAAGATTACATCATGTTGGGAGGAATAAGGCTCAGAGCCTCCCTTCTGCTCGGGTTGTAGAAAAGGGCCAGCAAATGTGTGCAGTTTCTTGCTACAGTGCTCCACACTTGGCCTGCTCCTCTGGGACACTGGCCTTCATGGTTCTGGCTTCCAGAATCTACCCCGCCCACCTCAGAAGAGTGTGTAAGAACAACGCCTGGCTCCTACTCCTTCTCTACATCTGTATGTGTGACAGTGGAACAGGGACTCTCGGGACAGGGGTTTTGCAGTTGTCTAAGGTCTTCGGCCCTGAAATAGAAGCCTGGACTGAAATACTCCACTCAAGGAACAGGAACCGCTTTCGGCCACCAGGACTCAAGCTTAGTACGTGTGGGAGACAAAGCCAGGGTCAAGTTGCCCAAGCCCTGCAGGAGTGGGGATGCATTGTCTTCAGTGCTAAGTGCAGAGGGGTGGAACCGCATGCCACAGTCAGGGTGTGGTGCTGTATTGCTCATGAAGTTCATCAGATTTTCCGGAAGATCCTAGTCCTCATCTCCCAAAGATTAATCCTCCTGCTTTGGAGGGAGCTATATGAGAGAGCTACTTCAGAAAAAATACAAATTGGCCCTTCAAGAGGGTGAGGCTGGAATCTAAGACATTATCTGCTAAACCTTAGGGTGCAGGCAACTTTGAGTGCCCTTACATTGTGGCAGAGACATCCAAAAACTGATGGGAGAAATACCAGTGATGGAAAGTCGGGGTGTCCTGCTGGAAACCAAGCCCATAAATACCTGGCCATGAAGGAGAGATGCTGGAGAGTGACAGGACTCCCCCTCTCATGCACACGCATGTGTCAGAGGGTTTCCTGGCTCTACGAGTGATACAGAGTCCTGAAACACCCCAAAAGCAATGTCCCCAAAGTTCCTTAAACCAAACAACCAAAGGCCGGTCTGTCTGTGGATTGCCTTGACCTACCAAACAGTTCTAAGAAGATGAAAGTCGATTTCTGAACCTCCCCCTTGTGGCTACCCTATCCCCTCCCACCCAAATCACCTAGATGTGTAGAGATGATTTGGAAGGACTTGGACTTGTTAATTAACCTAAACAGTCACATTCATCTGCAAGGTGCATTATTGTTAATTAAAGCCGCGATTCTCCTTGTGCCCAGACGGCGGTCTGCGGTTGTCAGAATAATTAGATAGCATACGACGGTTTTCATGCAAATCCCTGGCAATTAGAGCTGGCGATGAATTGGGTTTGAAATCCCAGTGAAGTTCTCAATCAGAATTCCTCTGAGAGCACTTCTGGAGGGAGGCAATGATGAGCTGGCCATACAGCAGCGGAGCTGGGGGAGAGGGCATGAGAGCCAGCTATGTGTTTCTGAAATCCTCTCAAGGGCCGGCCTGAAGTGAATGGGCCCCTGAAATACATGGGCTGGGGGGTAGCCAGGATCCTCTCTCATCCCCCCTGCATGTGTCTCTCTCCTTGGAGACCGGACCCGCCTCCCCAAGGGCTGTGTGCTCCCGCCCCCTGGCCTCCTTGCTCTCATTTTTTCGAGAGAGGACTTTTTCTTTAGCCTGGAGGCCCAATAACTCATGCACAGCTAAGTCCCTGCCAACCTTAAGATTAAATTCTTAAGGGCACTAAGGAAACCGGATTTGTATTCCTGAAGGGCTGCAGAAAAGACGCCAGATTCAGACCAATTTGGGAGTGGCTGGTGCTGCTCCGTGGGTTAAACGGGGAGTAAGACAACCAAGGAAAGCCTTAAAGAGGTGACCGAGGTCAGGGTTAGACTCAGAGAAGAGATCCAAAGACAGCCCAGATAAGGACTGAGAAAGGCCACCGAGGGGCTGCGGAGCCAACAGGGGAGTTGGGGAGGCGGCTCGGTCTGACCTCTTATCAGCTGCAGGCGGCTGCCTCTGCGGTCCCTGGGAGAGATGTGAGAGCTCAGAGCCCTGGGGTCTAACTGTCCCCAGAGGAGTGCATTTCCATCTGGAGGCGCGGCCGGGAGCAGATAAGCCAAGCCCCCCAGTCTGAAATGAAGCCTTTCTGCCACCTGCTGACCCTGGACGATCCGGGAAGGGAAAGTCCCTCATGCTCCCCTCAACTCGGTCAGCCTGGAATCCAGCCTCATCAGGGAACCAGAGGCCGGGTGAGCTGCGAGCCCGGGCTGGAGGCGCAGCAAGAGAAAGGGGGGACATTCGTGAAGTGTGGTTGCGACCCTCACTCCATTCATCTCCTTTTGCTTTTTCTCCCCTGCCTTTCGGTCTCGGAACGTCTCCCGCAGCGAAAGTCGTCCCTGAGTCCCGCCTTTGAATTTAGGAGGCGCCAATCAGCAGCTAACCTGGCAGTTGCCAAGAGACGGGAGGCGGGGACTCGGAAGCTTTGTCACCGCACCCACCTGGAAAATCCCCCAGCCTTTTGCAAGCAGCTCCTGACCGGGATCCTCTAAGTCATCTCTCTGCTCCTGTCCCGCCGGCTCCTATTTGTCTCCAAGCCCAAAGAGTCGATCAGAAACGGTATAGGGGAGAAGCCAGGTTTAGCACATCTTTGAAAAATGGAAAGACTCTATCTGGATTCAGACAGATGTAAGGTACCTCTCCAGCTTCCCCAGCTGTTAATTGGGTTGGAGGGAGGAGCTCTTTCCGTGTACATAGCATCCTGGATTGAGGGTGACTTTGTTGGTGGCAACAGAAGTTGTTTCCTCTAGAAAGAGGGGCTTATTCCTTGTCTTTCCAATCATCCCCCAATATTGGCACATGGGGGCTGAGAGAAACCCGCCAGTGTCCTGATGACACAGCTAAAACATTGGGGGATATTTTGGAAAGGGGTGCCCGGATAGGGCACGGTGTGGATGGCAGAGGGAAAGATGTGTGGGAGCAGGAGAGAAAGGGGTTTGTTTCCAGAGCTGGGGAAATCTGGGGGATTCTCCCCCAGATGAATCAGACTCCTCCCCTTTAAGTATTTCATGCCTCAAAACTTCTTGATTTTAGTTCCCTCTAAACATCCTACACAGAAAAGACTAGGTATAGAAACCAAAACTCATTTGGGGATGGAGTGAGTCATAAATCCTGCTTCCATATCTCAGAATAAGGACAGAGAGCAGATGGGGCGGGGTAGGGGCCTGAGAGATCAGAGGGCACACAGGTGAGCGGCTGAGCCTCCAGGGAAGCAGCATGTACTGTGCACGTGGGTCCCAGCAGATGGAGGCACGCACACCGGGGTGAGGGTCATGCCGAGCCCTGGGTGTGAGAGCGATGACTCCGAGGAGGCAGTTTTTAGAATTCCCTGGATACAGAAAGCTCCACCAGCGTGCATGTCCCCGTCTCTCTCACTACTCTTGGCTCTAAATGAAGCCAACAGGTGTCAGGGACCCAGAGCCGGAGGGAAGTGGGTCAGGCCAGGTAGGAAGGTCATGCTCCGGCTCCTCTCCCACCCTCTGCTTCTCTCTCCTGGTTCTTTTCCTATTTCATTTGTTCTCAGCAGCAACTTCCTTTTTCCTTTACCTGGGCAGCCATTTCCTCCAGATTTTTAGGCTTAACTCCTCTCCTTATAGTCTGATCCCTCTTTCCTGGAGACAGCAAAAATCCCACTCCCAGGGTAACCTCTGTGTACCCTGGGGATATTGGGGCATCCTTTGTCCTCCCCAGATCAGCTAGGAAAACAGGAGCGTCTGGCGTGAAATGTCTCCCTCTCCCTTCCCCTTCCTCTCCTCTCATTCCCAGATGAAATAAGAAACCACCCACTTCATAAAAGCAGCATAGACTTTAATACAGCTTTGCAGGTGGGAAGGGGGCTAGGATTTGCCTCCAAGGGTGTTCTGATGAGAAGACTGTCCCACTGGGAGAGGGAGGGAGGGCAGCACAGAGCTAGCGGCCTGGTGGCAGGACAGGGCCAGGAGCAGGGGGGTGGCCACACAGTGCAGGATGGCCACGGCTTCTGCCAGGTGCAGCAGCAGGTCCAGGGCCTGCTGGGCCAGACATGAAGACAACAAGAAGGCCCGGGACCTCACTAGGGAGTCCAACACCAGAACCACCCCATGAGGCCACCAGAAAATGAACCAGGCCCATAGGACATCAACCCAGGGACATGGCCCCCGGTTCAAGGCCTTCTTCAACCCCTTGGCTCCCAACAAACCCAGCGGCAACAAGATGAAGATGGCAAAACAGGCTGCAAGGTGTATGGCCTGCAAAGTCCCCCACCCCCTGCTGAGGGTGCAGAGTCCCTGGGAACTGCCACTGACCAGGGAGATTGGCAGTGCCAAGAGGATAGCCGCTCCCCAAAGTCCCACTGTGAGCATCAGAGTGAGACCTGGGACTCGGCCCGCACCCAATGTGGGGCCCAGGCAGGCCCTGCACCCGATCAGCAGAGCCTGGGCAAAGGCAGAACCATACCAGACCAGATGGGCCAGGTGGCACAGGGGGCCGCTGTCAGCACCACCCAGCCCCGGGGCCAGGATGGGCAGCACGATGCTGAAAAGGGCACTGCCCACAGCCAGCTGTGCCAGGACTGGCCGGTCAGCGCAGTGCTGCCAATGGAAGAGCGGCCTGAGCAGCGCGAAGAGGACGGCCCCGCTGGCCAGGATGCCCAGGATGCTGGCCAGGAGGAAGAAGGGCAGCGAGGACTCGTCCAGCAGGTTACAGGAGTGGCAGGGGGCAGATGATTCCAGCCCAAGGTCATCATAGTCAGTCTTGTCATAGGAGATGTTCATGTCCTCCCAAATGTCATCTCCAAGGGTCTCCTGACTGAAGTTCCTATCCACGAAGGCAGAGGAGTCCACCTGCAGGGCATGCCCAAGGCGCCATCAGAGCACAGCCACCAGAGAGCTGGCGGGAGGGGGTGTTGGGGGGGTGGGGGGTGCATCGGAGCCCCCAAGTCAAAGTGTGAGGAGCGGGAGCTGGGTCATGGCAAGTGCGGGACAGGTGTGAGCAGGACAGAGGAAAGAGCACGGATGGACAGGACTGAGAGCGCATGAAGAGGAAAGAATGGGGGCCTGGGAGAGAGAAGAGAGAAGGGAAGACATTCTTAAAATAAGAAAGAGAAAGAAGAGAGCAGAGGAGGGGAGGCGGGAGGCTTCCAGGCTGCCGGAGGGCCTGGTTGCGGGCCTGCACTCACCCGGGGCTGACAGTTCCCCATGGCTCCTGGCTCAGGCTGGCAGAGGGAGGACCGGGCGCCTGTCCTTGGCTGTGGCGCTGAGATAAGTGCGGGGCCTAATGAGGCTTCAGGGTGGGCAGGACTGGGGCGGGTGGGGCATCCAGGAAGCCTTTACCCCACACCCTCTCCTGCCCAAGCCTCAGCCAAATGGGGCACTGCCTGGTTTCCTGTTTTGAGGTTGGATCCTGCTGGTGGGACCTAAGGGAACAGCCCGGAAAAGGGAAAAGGTGGGCCCCGAAAGTGGTTGTTTTCCCGAAGGTGGAAAGGGAGGCTGAGAAGCCAGGGGCTTTCCACCAAAAAGTGCTCCTTCAAGTACAAGGAAGGAAGGGGGCCGGGGGCGAGGGCGAGGCAGAGATAAGACATGCTGGGAAGTCCAGGGGGGCAGCACAGGACCCTCCCATCTCCTGAACTCCAGCCACAGGAAGAGTTCAAAGGCCGTGGTGTGTGGAGGGAGTGGGGGTGGTGTCTGTTGGCTGGGAGGGGGGCTGATGGAAACCATTGTATGGGAGGGGGACTGGGTGTTGCTCTGAGTTGGACACGTGGCTGCTGACACCCCGCGGGTCTTGTGGCAGGGCTCCTGCTGTCAGATGGGGTAGGCGTGTGCTTGTTTGCATTGGGGTGTGGATGTGCTGTCACCTCGAGCACCTCTGAGTGCCAGGACAAGCGGGTGTCTGGGTGTGTGTGATGCATTTTAGGTCTAGATGTCCATGGGGTGTGTGGGAGGCGCGGGGGCGGGCTGCAACATGAAGCTGCCCTGGGTGGCTGGACACTGGCCGAGCCACCTGTGAGCATGGTGGACGCCTCTTCCATCCAAAAGGACATGTCTGACGAATTTCTGCAGGCTCTGGGGACTGTGGGGCTGTGGGGTAACTGCAAGCCATATTTCTGCTGGGTGTGCAAGGCTCTAGGAAATTGCTAAGTTGGCCTGGTCTCTTGGCAAGACATAAGTTTCTAATGGGGAGGGGGTTGCAGAGACTAAGCGTGTCCGCCCTGCAGGTGGACTCCTTAAGCCAATCTCTGCCCCTCCCCAGCCCCAGCCTCTACTCTCCATGACCTCTGCTGTTTCGCCTGCTCCCTTGTCCCCCCAATCTTATGTCCTTGCTTGGGAAAACAGCCCAGTCTTTGGAAGGGGTGAGTCACAGAGCTAGGGTTGCTGGATAAGACAGTGCCTTCATCTGTCCAGGAAAGCAGGGGGTGTTCTAATTCCAATTGTCCAACAGCTGCTCTCCATCCACAGGGGGTTGTGGAGGGAGGGGGGCAGGGGCACCGGACAGATGGCCCCTCCCGGGACACCAGCTCTGCTTCCAGTTCCACACCAGGGATTGGAAAGTGAATTTGGGGGGCTGTTGGTGCTGTCTGGGATGGTGCTGAAGTGCCCACCTCTATTTCCACCTTCCCTAGCCCAGCTTGGCAGATGGCAGTGGGGGTGACTGTCAGACACCCCCAAACACATTAGAAGCAAGGACCCAGCCAAAGGGGTGAATGCACTTCCCTCTCCGGAGAGTTATATTGCTTGCACACAGAGATGACCTTGGGGTGTAACTTGGCAGGACACAGACCCCCTCTTTGGGAGGTGCCAGGTGAGGGGGTACACATACACACACCCTCACAGGAGCAAGAGTAGCAAGAAGGAGGCAACCCAACAACACGGGTAATCAGATATATTGAGGGTGGCCCCTCTGAGATTAGCACAGGAGTTAGAAAGATTATAAAGATACACGACCCAGTCCCTGCTCCCGCCCCCCCACAGACAGACACGCACAGCACAGGCCCTCCCCCCGCCCCCGTACAAATATGGCTTCTGTGTAATGTGGACAGAGTGGTTCAGCTCAAAGAGGAAAAGTCATTTCCCGAAAGCGTGTGCTGGGAGTGGGGGAGCCCTACAGGCCCGGGGCCTGAGGTTCCCTGCTGCTGTAAGAGGAGGGTCCCTGGCTCAGGTGGGGGTGCCTGGATGCCTGGGGCCTAACCAGCGGCTGGAAGAGTCACAGGGCAGTACCTGAACTGAAGGTGAGCAGAGCTGCCAAGGGAGGCAGCTCCCCATCTGCACCCCCTGAGTTGTCAGAGCAGGAGGGTGTGCGGGGGGAAAGGCGGGGGGGGGCAGAGAATGAGGGGGGCCTGGCAGGATGGGGTGGGGAGGGGTGTGAGGGGGGAAGAGGGCTGCCTCATCTCCATGCCAACCAGCTCCCACCAAGGAAGACAGAACCGAAAGCAGGGCGGAGATGGGGGACACTGGGGTGGGAGTTCATTCCGGCCCTTGACACACCAGGCTCAGACTATGGGAAAAAGAGGTGTCATTCCAGGGTCAGTGCCAGGGAGAGGCCTGAGGGGTGCATAGCAAAGGCTGTGGCACTGACTCCATGGCTCCCAGAAGGGAAATCGAGGCGGGGCAGAGTGCTCTGTTTTCGGGAGAGATGGGCTGGACAACGGAGCAAACACATGTGCCGGGCTGTCTCCTCCACGACAGATGGGCACTGGGCTGGCAGGGTGATGCCAGGGTGGAGCCATGTCCCGGGGAGGCACAGAGCCCGACAGGGACCCTCCACGCCCCCAAGCCTCCTTGTCGTGCCCCACGGCCCGCCCACCAGTCTAGGACCCTCTGTCTCTCCCTCGCACCCACAGGAACACACATTCACGTACACACACCTCCACATAGGCACTGACACCCACACACGTGCACACTCACTGACACTCACAGAGTTCACATTATCCCTTAGTTGGGGCAGGAAACAGCTCAGAGCAGTGAAGCGCCTTTAGTATTTTTGTTGTTATATCTGCCTGGCTGCTGCTGAGGGGGCACCTGGGGGACACAGGAGGGGCGCGGCCCGAGGTGGGGGAGAGGAGCTGTGAGAGGAGGGGGACCGTGCAACCATCCAGGGCCCGGATGGGGCAGGGCCCTTGGCGAAGAGGACAGAGCCCCTACCCCCAGCAGCAGCGCCTCTCCCAGAGCTGCCGGAGCGAGGAGGGCGGCCTTGCCCTGCTCTCTTCCAAGGACGGTTCTGTGAACGGGGCCTGGGCTCGTTCCCTGGCAGCAAGGGGTAGATGGGGGCATCTCCGCCACCCTCCTGTCCAAATCCACCCGTCCTGCAGACCCGGCGTCCTTCCGGTGCTGCAGCCTGGGCCCCTGCGTGGCTGCGTGCCCTCTGTGGTCACTCCGGGGGAGCCTGTCCACCCCTCGCCCACTGTGGTGGAAGAGGGGTGTGAGGACGGCACCCCCCTGTCCACGGCTAAAGAGGTGTGACGAAGAGGAAGCCCCACCTCTGGCTCCTGTGGCAACTGTCCCGCTCCTGGGACGTGGGGGAGGCGCTCTGTCATGGGGGACAGGGTGCCGGTGAGACCCCTGCCAGGCCACCCGCGCCTGCCCTGCCGGGACCCTCACCTCTTCGCCTCACACTCCAGGTTTCTGCTTTCCTTACTCAGGGCCCCTGCCCCTCCAGCCTGGAGGCAGAGTTGATTTGGGATTGTTACAAAAATAATAATAACCCAAACGCAGAGAAGCCATGGAAAGGGCTGAGGGCAACCCTCCCCCCGCCCTCCTCCCTCCCCATTCCAAACCGAGTACAAAACGCACCCGAAGCAGACATTCTGTACAGGGGTGGGGGCCGGGGAGCAAGCGGGAGGGCGGCCCTGGGGTCGCTCTGTACAAGTCCGGTTGGTCGTGCCCAGCAGTCCCCGTGGGGCCCGGGGGGCGCAGAAGGTGAGGGCGCCCTAGATGAAATACTCCTTCTTGTCGTCACCACCCGACTGCCCGCCCTCGGCATTGATGATGGCCGTGTCGGCGTCTGGGGCGTCATCGGAGCCTTTTGCCTCGTGAGTCAGGTAGGTTCCTGGGGAGAGACGGTCCACCATCTCAGCGTCCGAGTCCCCTGCTGGCGCTCCCACTCTCCCCTGCACACACCTGCTCCTGGCTTTCTTTCCCTCCTGAGGGAATTTGCACCTGCTGCCAGCATCCCTCACCTGACCACCCCATGCATCCACAGATCCTGCCTTTAGTTAGAATCGCATTCATCACACAGGCACAAGACGGTCCGAGCAGGTATGTATCTGTGCACATGCATGTGTGTCCACAGTCATGTGTATACATGTACGTGTCTGCAAAGCTTGTGCACATGATCACGCACCCACCCACACGACTTTATCCATGCGAGCACGTGCTGGTGTACGTGTGCTGGCAGCTGTACATACATGTGCGGACACAGGCGTGGTGTGTCTGCACGCGCATCTGTTCTGTGTGTGCCTGTGCGTGTGCCCTTGCGAGAGGATGGGTGGAAAACTGTCAGCTCGTGAGTGGTCAGTTGAGCTCTGGCTTGCATCTGGCCAGCCCGTGTGGTCTGACTGCCCTAGAAGCCGTCACAGTGGGCGTGTGAGCGAGGACTGCAGGATGAGAAGAGAGACAGAGGGCAGGGCCACAGCTGACCACATGAGAAGACCTGATTCTGTGTGGATGCCCCAGGTGATGGGACTCTGTGCCGGGTTGCTGGTGCCTAGTTACCACGGGATGGCTGCATTTTTCTTTCCTAAACACTCCAAGGGGCTGACTGAGTCTTGAATGTCCTCCCTGAAACCCTGAGCTAGTCCAATCCCCCCAGACACTCCCTCAAGCTGCTGACCTTTGTGCCGAATCAAGTAGTGTCCGAGGAAGATAAGCAGGATGAGCAGCAAGAAGACGATGAAAGCCACGATCCCGCCAATGATGGCGTGGTAGGTGCTGGGGGACGATGAAGGCAGCGGACTGGGGTCTGCAGGGAGGGGTACACACAGTCAGGTCTGGGGAGACCCTCCCCTGATAGCACCTTTGACCCAGCCTGGAGTCACGGACAGCAGCAGGGAACCTGAACCAACCTTGTCAGGATGAGCGCCATCATTCAGCAGGGAGAAGGCTTACTTGTACCCTAGCTTTTTGCGTAATTTCTGGAACACAGTAATTGTTAAAAGGAATTGGTGTATTCGAGAATAAATAGATAAATCTGCTCATCCTCAGGCTTTTCAGCAAAACTCATGGTACTGGAGCTTGACGTTGGCAAAAGATCATTTCTTCAACATCTAAATAAGCTCTTTCTCACTCTCTTTATTTCTGGGGTATTAGAATATTCCTTCTCTATCCTCCCAGTCTTATCTTCCTGCTCCTGGATACTCTGAATAGCTGCTCTAGGGGCTTCTCAGACTACCCTCTGCACTGGTTCACCCAGGGCAGAAGCAGCGAGACCTGAGGGAACAGGGGAGTGGCTCTCTCTAGCACCACGCCACATATGGGACAGAGGCCCCCATGGAAGGAACAGAGATCCTCCTTGGTAAGAGGGTTCAGGGTTCCAGCAAAGTCCCAGTTTCTTGCCTGCCTGGTCTTTACTCCTATCTTCACTCCAGTGTGTGCAGCATGAACAGGGACAGAGACTGAGAGTTTCTGCCCAGGATGACTCGTTCCGCAGGCCCATCTGCAGAGGGTGGGGTATTGGCCAAGGCCAAGGCCAAGCGGGCAGCGCCAGCCGCAGGCAGGGTCCCAGTGCTCCGGGGAGGCGGTGTCCTCATATGCCCATCATCACATCGGCTGCAGGTATAGCCCTCCCCAGGCACAGCGGTAGGAGACCTACCACTCTTGCACAGACTCAGCTGGAGTCTTGACGCTTCATTGACTCTTACACATCCGTCTTTCCTACCTTATGTCTCCAGGCTTGACTGGGCCAGCATTTTAGTTCCTTGCCCTTCTCCACCTTATTTGAAAAGAAAACATTTGTGCTCTCGTTTTTTGTGCTCTTCTTGGGAGGGAGAGGATGGGCCCAGGCCTTGCATGAAGGGTGGTGCAAGGTTGTCCTCGGAGGCATCAAGGCAACTCACCCACTGGTTTCTTTCAGGGAGCATCTTAGACACAGTCCCCACTAAATCAATGCCGGGCAATCACTCCAGGGGCTATGGAAATGGTAATTCCTTAGATAAGTATAGGTTTCCATTGCCAAATAACCCTTGGGGACATCAACTGCCAGGCACTACCTCCAGGTAGAAAGAACACATTCCAGGGAGTTGAAATCTCACAATAGATGAGCCCACAGGCCCGGTAGAAGATGCAGTAACTGGCTCTACCACCAGGTGTCAGCACTGGGAGCAGAGGCGCCACAGAACCTGCTATCAGCACAGGGTGGTGGTTCTGCAAGGTCCAGGACCCCAGAGACTGTCAACAAGGCCCAGGAGTGGCCCCTCTCAGAACAGGAGAGGAGGGCAGCAAGGCCCAGGACCTCCCGGGGGACAACAAGGCCTCACAGGAGAATCATCAAGATCCAGGACTGATACTTTCAGCAAGGTCCAGGACCCTGGTCAACAAGGTCCAGGACCCTGCTGGGGTGGGGGTCAGTAAGATCCAGAACCAGCTCTCTGGGGGTTGGTAGTGGGCAGGGGTCACTTCCTGGGCACAGGAACTTTCTCTTGCCAGCAATCTGGAGAGCTCTGGGAGCAACTCTTGACCTCAGACCTCAGACATTGTCCTTGCTCCTGGTCCTGTAGCAGCTCGGTATGCTGTGTTGAGGTTGAAGTCAGACCACCCCGTCAAGACACCCCGTCCAGCTGCTCCCCTACTATGTTAACAGGCGTTTCATGGGAGGGAACCTCTAAGGGCCCCCTCCCCGACAAAGCATGGCCCCTAATCTTAGGAAAGGTCTAAAATTAAGGTCTCCCTACAGCTCTCCAATAGAGGGCCCTCTGTGCTCCCTGTCGCTTCTGGACTGGGGTCACATCTTGGGAGGAGCCTTGGGGAAGAAGCGGCACCTAGTCCCTCAGAAGATGCGGCATCTGAGAGAAGACGCAGCAGAAGACAAGTGCAGTGTCCAGAGTCTGCAGAAGAGGAGATGAGGGCGGCATGCACCCACACTCGCCACAGGGGGGCGATCAAGAACAGCCCACTGGAACAGAGGGAGAGGCGGCTACATCTGCAGGGAGGCCGGGGCCTCCACACACAGTATGACTCTTGCCATGGGATGGGTGCAGGGTCTGGAGGTGGTGCCATTTGAGTCAGCATTGCCACACAGGCAGCAAGATCCCACGCTCTGCGGCGCTTCCTGCCCATACCCTCCAGAATGCACTGGGGCGAGGTCCTCGGGGCCCCACACCTCCTCCACATCAGGGTGAGAGTGGAGAACGAGAGGGACAGAGAAGGGCAGGGTGCTGGAGTGGCGGGGCTCACCGTTCACGTTGAGGTTGTAGTAGGCCTTGTAGCTGCCCATGTTGCTGGTGGCCGTGCAGCCGTAGATGCCGCTGTCGCTCTTGTTGAGGAAGGGGAAGAGCAGGGCCCTCTCCTGGGTCATCTTCAGGGGCGGCACGCTGCCCTCCTTTTCCCACAGAAACTGCTGGGGGCTGTGGAGGCAACAAGAGCAGAGGTGTTGAGAAGGCAGTGGGCTGGGGAGCTAAAGGGAATGGAAGCAACTAGGCACAAGGAGTCCAGGGCTGCTTGGCGAAGGACTCCAAATACTGGCTACTCTTGGGGTTCATTTTGGAGAAGAAGGAGACTTCTTCGTTTGCATTTTACTAATTTTGGCTCCTTATGGGAACCTCGGGTGTCACCCAGGGCCGGGCCCCTGCAACTGCCACTTTGCAAGAGACACAATCAGAGGATGGATATGGGTAGACAGGCTCAGAGAAGCAGGGGCTCAGGGGACAGCAGGGAAGGGAGGAGAGCATGGAGCTTCTTACGCGGGATTGCCACGGCTCTCACAGTGCAGCAACAGCTTCTGGCCCTCTCGGGGGTGTGGTGGTTCTGGTCTAATCACTGCTGTCGGTGTGTCTGTAGAAGAGATGGTATCAGTGCAAAAACCCCTCGCTGAGAAGGAGGTCACCATGTCTTAAAACCACTCAGCTAAGCATTGCAGCTTCTCATCTAAAAGCCTCTAGAGCCCAGCAGCTGTGAACAAGACCTTCCGCCAGCTTGTGTGAGCCCTGAATGTGCCAGGCACTCGCCTCACGGAGGTAAAATCCCAGGACTGTGGGACCCAGGGGGTGTCTGACCAGAGAGCAACAAGAGGGCACGAGGATCCTCTGCCCAGCACCCTGCCCAGCGTGCAGATGGATCTAACACATAATTTCAACAGAAGAAATAAACTTGAACTTGCTCATGGGCTTACAGCCTCTCAATCCTCTCTGCTCTGAAAGAAGCTTCAACAGGTAGCAACGCCTGGGCACGAGATACCGATTTTAGTGGTCCATGAAGAGATGAAATGCAGGCTTTGCAACAGTCAGGGTGCGGTGGTTCTCTGATTGCAAAGAGGCACAGATACCACGGAGACAGCCCTACACAGGGGTGACGGCACTTGCCCCCGCCGATGCCCCAGGGCTTCACGGAGGCCAGCTCCAGATGGTGGCTTAGAACAACACAGCCAGATGCTGGTTTGGAACAACAAAGAGCTGCGCCTCCCCTGAGGACAGAGCCAACCTTAGCCAGGAATGAACGTGCTTCCGTCACACCAAATAAGACAAAGAGAACAGGCCAGGTGAGAGGATAGGTGTGCAGGGCCCACGACCACAGGAAGCTCTAGCACGGGGCCTGAGGTATGGCATTGTTGGCTGACTGCTGATCACAGGTGGGCCCGGAGGTCCCCGGTGAGTAAGGCCAGATGGTCTGGAACCTACCTGAGAGAGCTTGGGACTCAGACACAGGAGGGGCTGGGCATGAAGCCTCACAGTCAAACAATAAGCAGAAACACCTCATAGTTTCCAAAGTCCTGTTGGGCTTTTTTTTTGTATACTCATGACAATTAGCAAAAGGAGCAAGAACCACTGAGAATAAATGCTCTGGTGAAAAAAGGCACAGCTTCCAAGTAGGGGTACCGGGTGACCCCAGGCTGCAGGTTCCAGACAGAGGGTCTGTCAAAGAGAAGCCACTCTACCTGCCGCAGGTTCAAGTTTCAGTAATGGGGCAAGCTTGACTTAAATAGCACTGAAGCCAGGCCTGGCTCGTCCATAACAAAGAGATACAGGGTTCTGGTTATTTTAGAAAACCACCCCGCCTTCAGATAAGATGCATTATTATATAGCTCAATACAGTCTGTCTTTGCACTTTATTTTCCTTTCCCCTTGGTTTGTCCATTCAGAACAATTTTTTTTTTTAAGATCTCCAAACTTCCTCAGAGGAGGGGCCTGTTGATACTCAAGGCAGATTCCATAGAGGACAGGGGCCCCTGGGGAGGCTGGGGGCAGAGCTGGGGCACAGAGGGAAATACTCAGAGGGGAAAGACCACAAGTTGTGATATCAGAGAGAAGTTTTCCTGCCTCTGCATTTTCCTGAAATCACAGTATGTTCCACCAAGAAGCCTTGCTGACCCCCATGTTTATCTTCTCGTGTAGTGAAAAAAGAATCAAGCTCAGTGGGCAAAGTAATTTTCTTACCATCACAAAGCCCGCGGAGGTGGCGGGCAGATGAGAACTTGGGCCCCCTCACTCCTGATCTGCTTGTCAGCACAGTGCACACTCTGCTGCACACACGGGCCTCGCCAGGGGCTGGTAAACTCACCCACTTTGTCAATAAAGCTTTATTGGCACATGGCCAGCTCATTCATTCACGCATCGCAGCAACAGCAGCAAAGCAGTTGAGACACAGACCAGGTGGTCCTCAGCCTAAGATGCTGGCTGTGGGTCCCTTTACAGGAAAGTTTACTGACCCCCCGCCTAGTCTCATCCTGGGTTATTTTCACGTGGCTGCAAGTGTGGTGGCTTTGTGTAACCCCTCTACACCCCCCTTTCCCCTCTCCACCTCACCCCATCCTCCTCCTCCCAGGACATACATAGCACTTCGATGCGCTGAGAGGTGGATCGGTCGGCTCCCTTTAGAGATTCATGGTTCACAGAGCACACAATGTCCACTCCGTCATCTTCCCGGGAAACCTGGAATGTCACGGAGCTGCTCACGGTGAAGGTCTTACCATTGGGGTCTTCCTGTGTTCGGGTTGGTTCTCCTAGAGAGACCAGCGCACACAGATAGGTGAGCCCTAACCCAGAGACAGGATTCCCCGCACCCCATCAACAGCAAGTCTCAACTCAGACCAACTCAGAGAGTTGGGAGTGGATACAGACACATGGAGAGTGTGGGCCCTGTGGTACACACAGGCACATGTGTACACACAGCTCACATGCACTCAGATCCATGCACACAGGTGAGCCCACGCACGCACACACCCATGTCCACACGGTTCTATATCGCTCTCTGTACCACACCTGGTGTGCACAGACACAGACTGGTGGGCGGGTGCCCCTCCACCCTCTCCTCTGCTCTCCCCACCTGCCCGGCTCCTCCTGAGACTTACCCTGGAGCACTTGGTCGCCCTTCTTCCACGTGAGCTTGGCTGCAGGTTTGCTCCCCGAAGACTGACAGTTTAGAGTGACTGTCTCCTTTTCTCTCAACGACGATTTGTAGCCTGTGATTATGGGCTTCTGTGGGATTCCTGGCATGGACAGGGCGGTCAGGAGAGAGAGGAAGAACACCATGAAGTCATGCTCAGGTCTCCCTCCCAGGCGGCCTACTGGGGGCCCAGGCTACACAGGCTCTACTTTGGTTGACAGAAGGTGGATGAGTACAGAATCATCTCTTCCTGTGATCTCCTCCACAGGACAGGAAGGGAGTCCTGGGGGTAGATGTGGGGAGATATCCCACCTCGGAGGCCCGATGGAGAATGCATCCATAGCGCAGCTGGGTGGCCACGGACAGGGTAGAGCTCGGGGAGGTGGAGAAGGAAATCATTACGTAGGGTCAGGATGAGAGCAGGAGAGCCACTGCGGGGCTTGTCTTGGGGTTATCAGCAGAGCTGCCCGCACTGCTCAGGATTTCCTCACACCGTCTTGGGAGGGAGGTGGATTAGACGGCACCTTCTGCTGTTATTGGTGAGAAAACTCCAGCTCAAAAGAGCAAGAGCCTTGTCCCAGGGCAAAGGGCAAGCAGAGAGAGGAACCAATGGCCATGTCCATCTCGAAGGACACACAGGATGCCCTTTCCTCAGTGCTGGAGACTCCCCTGGCTCTGCCTTGGGGTGCCAGGGGACCTGCTCCGGGGGAAGGATGCCAGAGGCACAGGGCAGGAGCCTCACCCAGCACGGTGACCAGGGACTTGGCGGTCCTGACGGGCATGGTGAAGATGGAGCAGGTGTACTCGCCCTCGTCCGCCAGGGCCACGTTGCTGATGCTGATGCTGAGCTCGCGGTGCGTGGACTTGACCAGCTGGATGCGGTTGTCTCGAAGGGCTAGAGTCAGGAGCAGGGTGTTACAGCACCTTTCACTTCATCCTCCAGACCCCATTTGGGGGTCTGATTTGGGGTGGTTTGGGGGGGCAGAAAACTACTCCTGAGTTTGACTAGTCTTTGGGTCATTCATTCACTTTTCTAGTCCACTGGGTACAGGGGCTTCAGATCAACTGTGAGAGGGGAGCTGAATCTGGAGGCTTCCCTCTGAAATATGGGGGCACACTGACATCAGCAGTCACTTGGGGTACAGTTACTCCAGTAGCTCGTAGGACACATGTGCTTAGGTCATGGATGTTGACTAGAACCATTGATGACCACTGATGTTCCCAGAACCCATGAAGAGTCCTGGTGGTGCAGCCTCAAGGAGCTACTTCTCATCCCATCCCTCAGCCCCTGGACTCCTGCACACGTGTCGACGATGCTGGTCCCACCTCAGCCCTGGGGCTCCTGGGGAGATCAATCAAGAGGCACTACCTCTCTTCTCTCCGAAGTAGAGCGTCTGCTGGGCAGGGTTGGACCACTGCAGGGATGAGTCCTCGTGTTCTCTCACTTGGCACCTGAGCACCACCGTGCCGCCGGCCACCACCGTCTCGTCAGAGGTCCAGGGCTGGCTGTCTGCAGGAGTACAACAGGGTGAGTCCACAGCCTCCTCTCATGCAGACATCCAAGGCCGGTCTCTGTGCTCTGAAGGCTTCACAGGGAGCAATCGAGGTGTGGGGAGAGACAGGCCTTATTTCCCCTGGCTTTGAATACACAGGGAAACCTCCCCTATGGCGAGGTTGCTGAGTCAAAGTCCAGGGCCCCAGTGCCAGGCTGCGGGCGCCCACCTGTGTAGCCTCCACACGCCTCTCGCTGACAGGGCCCTACCATTTCGCTTGAACACACACACACACACACACACACACACACACACTGTCCTCTACCTCTGCCTCCTGCACCCCTAATAAGGGAGCAAGAAGAGGGGATACTCCTGCCTGAAACTAGCATTGGGAAGCCCCGCCCCCAAGGTGGACATTCATTTGCACAGGAAGCAGCTGGTAAAAATGCAAACAAACAAAAAAGATACAAATTAAAAACTGAAACATTTCACACAGATTTTTCACTTTTTCCTGCAATAACTTCCCGTCAAGCATCATTTCCCTGAACTTACTCCTGTGTTAGGGCTCCCGGCCTCCTGACACACGAGCCAAATCACCATCCTGAGGTTATTTTAAAGAGTAAGGAGATAACGGTTTCCCTCCGATGTGATGGAATATGTTCTCTAGTCCTTCTTTCCTTAGGCAGGTGAACAAAAAGCAGGGACTAATAGGGTATCATGTGGAGGAGCCCTTTGGACCCCAAATGTGCCTTCATTCGCCTCAGGCCTGGCTGCGGGACCCTGGCGACCACCACCCAGCAGCGCCCCGTGTTCCCAGCAGCAGGGACTCCCACCCCCAGGGTTATGCCCGCCTCTTCAGGGCTGATTTTCTGTGACTGAGCAGCACCTACCTTCATAGAACTAACCTGCAATAAGCAACACCGTCCCGTCCTGATTCTGAAAAAAGGCGAGAGGCCTTTTCTAGCCACGTACTTAAACCAGCATCGCTCTTCCCTGGATAGGAAACTGGAGATGCACTTCTACATTGTCTAATCCTCGTGCTCCCTATGGCTCCAGCTCTGCCCTGCCCTGTCCCCTGATCCTCTCTTTCTAGGTCACCAGAACTCCATTTCCAAGAGCTAGAAAGGGGCGCTCCTGTGTGGAAGGGCCCTGAGTTCAGATCCACCAGTGCTGGCCTCAGGGCAGTCTCCACCCTACAGCACAAAGCCTGCTCCTTTTCAGTGCTCGGAACCATGAACATCAGCCCTGAGTGGATCCTAGGAGTCGGGGAGTCCAGGTCTCTCACCTTACTGATGCAGGCAATGAGGCAATGGAGGTGAAATGCTTGCCTAGGACCTGCCTACACGGCCAGCGATCCCAGGGAGGACTAGACGGTTCTGCTCACAGCTGCTCTTTCCTTCATACGTCACTCATCTACTTGAGAATTTAAAACTGGTTTTGAGAGTAGCGAGTTGACGGAGGAAATTTGGAAGTGATAGATTTCTTAAATGTCTCAAAAGCCTGGGAAACCTTTTATTGCCTGTTAGCCACACAGGTCTCCCCGCTCCTCTCCAAAAGCAGAGCTTCCTACGAAATCTTTCACAGGCCAAAATGGTGACAAGTAAAGAAGCATTTCTTTTATATGGATTGTTTTTTGAGCATTTCCAGACCCCCAAAATAACCTACTAAATCGTGACAGGTAACACAGGAAACCTAAAGTCACACTAACCTATAGCAGAAGCGGGCACGCTAGGATAAATACGGAGCCTGTGGGAAGCAGTTCCCGGGAAGGCACTCGGGAGGCCGCTACTTCTGGACGGGCTCTGCAAACCCCACGCTGACGCTTGCCTTCACTTTTTGCCATTTGTTATAAAAGCGAAAATTCCCTCTGATTTCTTTTGGTTACCAAAAACAGGAATGAATGTAGGTCTACCATGAAATGGGAGTGGTGGAACTAGGACTTTGGCCGAGCTGGGGTGCCCGCAAACCAATTTTTTGACCAGTAAACCCCTTGTCCCAGGTTCCTTTTGGTGTAGTCTACCTGCACTGTCTTTCGAGAACCCCTTCCCCCCCACCCCCCCCCCCCGAGGACTGCACTCCTTCTAGAAGCATCTTGTGTAGGGACTCAGCTGCCTCATGCTGTCGTAAGGGAAGAAGGAGTAGGTGCAGAAGTCGGTGGTGTCAAACTAAGAACTAAAATCAAATGGAAAGAAGAGAGCCGTGTGGTGATGAGTGGTGAGAACACGGGTGGAGGGACATGAGTGGGGGATGGTGTGAGGATGCGGAAGGTCTGAGGGCCGTTGAGATGAGGCCTGGTTTCTCACCTTGACTGGCCAGCATGTCAGGGCTGCTCCAGACTGTGGAGCTGATGGCCTCGTCCACTGGAGCCAGAGTCCCCAGCTCCAAATCCTGCTCCTGCCAGTAGCCTGGGGAGAGAGTCTCCATCAAGGAAGAGCCCTGTGTGTGCACTGCTACAGTGTGGGGGCTGTGCTTCACTGTGGGGTTCGGGCAGGCTCGGCCCCCATGAAGAGCTGCTTCACCAGGATCCCTAAGAGAAGGGGCTTCTCACAAAGGGGGGGTGATTACTAGAGTTCTGAAAGGCCTTGAGCGCCTCCTCCTCTCCAGGGAAATGCCAGATGTTATCAGTCACAGAACCTAGAGCCAAGGAGATCTTAGAGGTCACCTCCTCCAGTTCTCCCCCCTCATAGATGATGACAATGAAGCCCACAAGGGTTAAAAGTGACTTAACTGGAGGTTACTACAGAAAAATGAAGGAGAACCAAAGATTTTTTTTCCATTCCTTCTCCTGGATTCTTTCTGCGGCACCATATTGTCTACTAAAATAACAGGTTTGGTGATTAGAAAATATGCGCCCTTGAATTCTTCTAATAAACCTGTAAAGTAAGCGCTCGGGTATTATCATTTCTATTGCAGAGCGGAGGCTGAATGAAGGGACTTTCCCAAGGTCACACAAATAGAAGAATAAAGGCTGGGAATTAAATGCCTGCTTCCAAAGCTTTCTTTGTTTCAAGTAAGAGCCATGTCATTGAAGAAAGACCAATTAGGGCTGAGCAGTGACCCCAGCTTTTCCAGACTGTAACATTTGGTGGACACTCAAATTCACGTATTTCCTGCCCACCCTGTGCCTCTGGTCCACCTGTGCCCCCAGCCCACTCATGCCCCTGGCCCCTGGACATCGCCTACCCTGTGGTTACACCTCTGGCCCAGTCTCCGCCCTCTCCCCCTTCGGCACCTGCTAAGCCCAGCCGGACTAGTGGCTGTGAGGAGTCTGGGTCTGTGGTGCTCAGCTTGGAGGGGCGGAGGGACAAAGAACTCGGCTGAGCGAGTCTTTTCAGGGTCTCCCGCCTCAGCCCAGAGGCAGCCAATCATGTGAGCAAAGTCCGGTGAGCTCATGCTGGGGGCAGAGTCCGGAGCTTCCGGGGACCCAGAACTTGTCGGGCACCAGGGGAGCAGGGGTGCACAAGGGTGGGGTGCAGGTGAGAACTGGGCCTGGGACAGAAGGGGTGGGCCAAGGGGTGACTGAGGGGGACTAGAAAGAGAAGTGGGAGGTGAGTTTAGGGTCCCTGGAGAAGAAAGGGGACAGGACTGGGACAGAATTGCTAATCAGAAGAAGAGGGGGGAGGGACAAAGCTGGGAGGGGCGGGGGAAGAAGGGCTCAGAAACCAGCTTGGACCTCTGTGGAGAAACCTCCCCCTCCCACTGTTCTTCCAGCCCCTTTCAGGAGGTTCGAGACACTTTGCTCTCAAACTGGAGAAAGCTAATATCCAAATGGGGAGGGGAGGGAAACAGAGAAAATGGAAAAGCTGTAATAGGTAGAGATGGAGGCAGGGACCCAGGACAAGGATGGTGTTGAAGAGAGGCAAGAAGGCTAGGACCAGGGCAGGAGAGGGCTGAGGAGAGTCCTGAGGGACCCCAAATCCAGCAGAGCCGCCTGGGGGCCAGGGCCTCCCTGCTGCCCTCTGTGAACAAGGACAAGGACCCACAGACTGAGGCCACCTCAAGCGGTGAGTGTTTCCTCTCCTTCCTGGCTGCGTTTGTGGAGGGCGGTTGTGCTAAAGCTTGGCTGGTGGAGGAACAGGACCATGGGGCCCCTGAGGGGGCTGCTGTGCCCGTGCTGCTCCACCCACAGGCAGCACCCAGAGCTCTAGCAGGCCGAGCTCAGATGAACAGAACAGCCTGGACCCTGCCTTGTAGCTTTCAGCTCACCCAGTGAATTTGCAGCCATGAATTCGTTTGATGTCCAGACAGCCTTGTGAGACATCCAACCAAAGAAAATTGCTTGTCAGAGGCAGAGTTCGAAAGGCCCAGGACTTACCTAAAGACCTACAGACGGTCCCTCTCAGGGCACGTCCTCTCTCTGGTGCCTCTCAGCCTTCCCATGAGAAGGGAAGCCTTCTTGCCGCTCCTGTTTCCCATGCATCTCAGCCCCTTGCATTGCAAGTTACTTGTTGAGTTATCAGCCTCCTCCTCTCAACTTTGAGCTGGTTAAGGGGGCTGCTCGGCTCACTCCGTATCTTCACTCTGAGCTCTGGAGTTTTAACTGGTGCAGTCCTTCTGCTCCTAATCCTGCAGAGACCCCTTGGCCCCCAGCCTGACAGGTCTTCTCTCTCTCCCTCCAGGCGATGCTTTTCCCCAAACTCCCCTTGGGCGCCCTTCTCCTTGTTTATAGTCTTTTCACCCCTCCCCTTCTTCTGCATTTTGCTGGCATTTTTTTTTTCCTGCAGAACATGAATAAATGAAATGGTGATGTAGGTCATTCAAACCTAACTGAATGGTTCAGATGAGAAGCCTGATAACTAAATAATCACCGGTAAATGGCACCTGGTGTGCTTGATGCAGTCTCTGAGGTTGCAGGAAACTCATTCTGTGCTACAATGTTTTAAGAAACTGACTAAGAGGGAGTGGGTTTCTTTTCTTTCTTTCTTTTTTTCTTTTCTTTTTTTCTGGTATCTCCTGGGGATGACATCTCTCTCCCTCTAATTCTGAAAAGTACTTAAGACCTCATGTCTCCTCTTGA